ATAATAATAATAATAATAATAATAATAATAATAATTATTATTATTATTGAGCCCCTTCACGCTGGATAGAGTTCATAATCTAGTTAGGAAGAAGTTGCACAGTGGTATCAGGTAAGTAACAACCCAAGACAGTATAGGATTAAGTCCTAGAGAATGATATTGCTAATTGTCTCTAATTTCAGAAAAATTTTGTGGGCAGTAGCAATCGGGGAAGTCTTCAGTAAAAAGAAGCTGAATTTCTTTCTTATTTCTTTATTTTGGTGGTGCTGGGGGACTGAACATACGTCTCTGCTCACATTCTAGGCAAGCACTGAGCTACCGCCTCAACCTCACAGCTGACTGTAGGTGGAGTAGGAGACTAAGGAAGGAGTGGCCTTTCCCACCCAAGAACTACAGGAGCAAATTCTTGGGTCAAGCTCCAGATGTCTGAGGTAGTATAACCAACTTGGAGTCGTAAAAGGTGGGGCTGGGTAAATAAGGAGAAGCACAGCATGAGGAGAGTTTCTGGTTCCTCCTGAGAGTCTGTAGGAATTGAAACATTTCTGGAATTTTCTAAAGGAAATGGGATTTTCATCAGAGTGTTAATCCACAGAAACTGTATATAATAGGTAAGAGAAGAAGGAAAGGTCTGATGGGAAATTCCTGCTAGAATGACGTGTGAAGTAAAAAGTGCTGGATTCACAAAGGCTCAGAAGTAAAGCACGTTGTGGGAAGCTGTGTCAGGTATTACCTGTCATTCCAGGTGAGGTGACAAACACTCCCAGGCAGTTAACCAGCACCACATAACAACCACTGAAAGGGTGGTAGATGTGCTTCTTTTTGTAAATGTGTTAATGTAAGTCTGTGCTAGTTATACTTGTGAGACATGTTCATTCTCAGGGGGGAAATCTAGTTTGATGTAACAAACATTTCAGGTCTAACAGACGAAGCAAAGAGACATCTTTCTTGATCAGAGTATGTTGGACCATCAGTGGAGCACACTGGACCATCAGTGGAAAGCTGTGAGCTTGTCATGGTCAAGATTTGTGGCTCATTGGTTTTGGTACTTATAGGTAAGTGTCTAAAAAATAAATATTCAGTATGTGTTTGTTAAGTGAATTAATAAGTTAAAGGCCAATGACTGAGTAGCTAGGGAAAAATATCTAGGTTTAGACTATCATTGATATCTATTGATATAGAGCAAAGCATATTGAATGATTATAGTAGATCCCAAACTCAGAAAGACCAGTGAACTTCACCCTTTAGGTCAAGGACACTCGCCTTTGCGCCTCCCAGAACTCTTCAGGGTCAATCTGACAGAGCCTTGCTGAGAAGGTGCCTTAATTGTTTCTACAACCATGGGGCTGGTGAGGTGGTTACTCAGAATCTGCAACTTTCCACTTTTCTACTCTTTTCAAAATCTAGTAGATTGTAGACTGTTCCACTTGAAAAGAAGTTTCCTTCTGATTAATTCTCATTCCAAGATTTTCAGACCAGACCTTATAGGCAAAGAAAAACAGAGTTTAGGTGAGCTTTTCTAGAACTAGACAGGATTATATATTTTATCATCTTGTGAAAAATTTCATTAGGACAGCACCATATTACTGTATTGGTGTCTTACCTTGAAAGTTCCGTGAACAGATATGAATTGTGTGCTGAATTATACGAACTCAGGTTGTATGTATTTTGTTTTCGGGCTATTTTCAGAACTGAAACTCACAAGTATTTAGAGAATTGGGATCGATAAAAATCTCTTTTTTGAAAGGTGAGAAATTAGGTACAACATAAATATGTTCTGCATCTTGATTTTTAAAAAACTGCCTTTCAATAACTTAATATTACCTTTGTATGAACCAAATGTGACATTTTATGGTGTTCTATCACTTCTTTTGTGAAAAATGGACTGAAAAAAACCAACAAATAAGCTTAGTTGTAAGATTGTTAAAACCATTAATTATCATTGAGGCAACCTCCAACACAATGGATTTTGGGTTCCTAGTGCTACACAATAGAGCAAATTAGTGATCAAGGGCATTAGTTTTGTAATGCTTTATCTGCTAACATCACGAAGAACTTTCACTGCTTATGGTTAGATGTTTTGAGGGGCTTTATTATGAAAATAACTGCACTAGGTAAGTGTTCCCTAATGGTTGCTTCATAGATTTTGTAGGCTAAAACAGGCATAGCGTCAGTGGCAAACCTTTATGGTTACATTGCTTTCCTGTTATAATTTGTACTGAACTACAGTGCTGGAATCACACAAACAGCCTAAGTTTAGGGACTGTTAGAGAATCAGCATCTCCGCAAGTATTTTTTACTGAGAGACCTTTTTATGGTGGAAAATGCAGTTTATTGATTACACTGTTCTCATACCAAGCACTTGCAAAAATTTAGTACCTGGAAATAACTCGACTTCTCTGGAGCAGTTAGTTTGTTTTATAATCTTGTGGGCATTCTGAGTTATATAGACCCCCCCCAGTTTATTATTTTGTCTATTCTTGGCTTCTCTTTGGCTAAACATTACGCTTCCTTTATACCTTGTTATAATGCATATATTTTAAGTTACCTTCAATCTTTTTGAACAGAAGGAACAAAAGAGGATGTAAAACATAATGGTTCATGATTACAAGATTAGTTTTGTGATTAGATAAGAAATAGATAATCTGATGTGAAGATTATCCTTACCCACACCACAGTTACATGTATATTTTCCTTACTTTACAAGGACTATAAATGAATATGAATTTGTAGGAGTAAGAGATTCACTAGAAAAAGACAAAATGATGAGTAAGGCAGGATGTGAAAGGAAGAAAAACGTGAGCAAGGAAACATGCTGAGTGAAAGAGAAGGAAACAAAGGACTGTGTTCTGGAAGGTTGCAAGAAGAATTGGGAATTGAGAAATACTAATTCAAAGAAACTTCTGTCTGGGAAGCAGCAAGAATGTAGCTATTTCTTTTTTTCTGTTGTTTTTTTTTTTGAGACAGGTTCTCACTATGTAGTTGAGACTGACCTGGAACTCACTATGTAGCCCAGGTTGGTCTTGAACTCAAAGTGATCCTCCTGCCTCAGCCTCCCGAGTGCTGGGATTACAGGCATGCGCCACCATGTCCATCATTACTACTTTCAGGGGTTAGGCTGAGTATCAGATTCTATTGACAGCTTACCACTCAGAAAGCTGTGGAAGCTTCATGGTAATAGCAATCGCAGAGAACAGGTAGGTAGGAGGGAGTCTTGGCTGACCTTGGATGGCAAATAGCAAACACATTGTTTCTTTCTTTCTCATGGAGGCTTCCAAGGGATTGGAGATGGACTGAGGTGGGTGCATGGGATGGTTTGGGGTTAAACCCTCCTGCCTCAGCCTCCTGAGTGCTAGGATTGCAGGCATACACCTCTGCACCTTGCCAATTTTTTTAGATATCAAGAAAAAAGATCTTAAGTCACTAAGTTGCTCAGGCTAGGCTAGAACTTGTCATCCTCCTGCCTCAGCCCACTAGAGTGCTAGAATTACAGGCAAGTGTTACCGTCTTTCTAGATTTTTTCCCAATTCAAATGCTCTCTGTCTGTCTCATGCATGCTGTCCACATTCTCTCTCTGTTTTCTTTTCTGAGCCTTTCTTTGCCAGTGCCCCAGGCAAGTGCTGAGGCTGCCAACCCAACCATTCTGCACTTTCCGTCAGTAGGCATTCCCACAGTGCCACATATCTCTCCAGGTACTTTGTACATACACTGGAATCATGTCATTGTTTGCTGGGAGCTCTGTTATGTCTGTCTCCCCCCGTGAGACTATTCTAAAGGGCAGCAACTCTGTGAAACTCGTTAAGAGCTCAAATACTTGTTGACTTGACTAAGGATGAAAAGTAAACACATTTTAAGTGACCAGGGAGAAACAAGGATTCTTCAAGAGTGATAAATGGAACTTTTAAGAATAAAAAGGAGATAAAAGAAGATAAGAAGACTAAATGAAATAAGTGTTTTCTTGCACAGCATTAATTTAATCAAAGATTTGAGAAACTACTTGATGGCACACACACGTCTGGTGAGGTCACTTGATTCCCTCTGGATAATTCATACTAAAATCCAGCATAAATCCAGCATTATAATCAACCTGTTATTGACAGTTGTATGAGGCCCATTCATAAAATCATAGTGAGCACTTTCCTGGTATCCACAGTATTAGACTCTGGCTCTTTCCCTTCCCTATCACCTCTGCCACTATTTAATTAGGCAACAAATATTTCCTGAGCATTTTGCAAATTATTCTCATTGCACTAGGTACCCATGTGAATGTCCTTGTAGGCCACGCCCTCAGAATTTATAATTCAGGATTAATTGGTAGTAAATTAGAGTTAGGAACAGAAGTTCCGCTGTGCTATGGCATAGGAATGTGACTGCAGATAATAATAATGTCATGTAAATTTTGAAAAGGTAAAGGAAGGGCTTTTGAGAGTTTTCACCATAAAGAAATGATATCAGAGGAGATAGATAGACAACCTGATTTAAATATTATATGTATACAAATATTAAAACATTACCCCATCAATACATATTTTTTTTTGTTGTTTGTTTGTTTTGTTTTTTGAGACAGGGTCTCTCACTATGTAGTTGAGACTGACCTGGAACTCATTATGTAGCCCAGGTTGGTCTCGAACCCACAGTGATCCTCCTTCCTCAGCCCCCCTCCCGAGTGCTGGGATTACTGGTGTGTGCCACCAGCCTGGCCCCTTTGTTTTATTTTTCTGTATCAGTTAAATAGCAAAAAGGTTAAATTCAAGATCTGAGGCACTGCCTCAGGATTGAATTAATAACAGTAACAATTGTATGTGTGTTATCCTGGATAAATGAAAATGTTGCAGATGGAAATGTGCAGGACAGTATTAACTATACTTATGCAGGCAATGACAGATACAGAAAATAAAGAAGGTTTATAGGAAGATAAAGTTTAGAAACTCTTGGTTCTGTCGCAGCCAGCGGAAGACCTATTTGTTCCCAGACCAGGCTTTCAATCATTCAGCTGAGGTGTGGTAACGTGGGGTGGGGCGGTGCTTCCTGGCTGTCACCACAGACACACCCAGTGACCTTGCATGAAGAAACATCCTGTCTGCACAAAAGGAGATTGCACTTTGTCCATTTAAAGCAGAGTGATGGGGTTGTCTGTGAGTGTGTGTGTGTGTGAGTGCTGGAGAAGTTATGTGTGTTTGTTGGATCGCTTAGTTCACTTGATTTTTATCCAGTTATGAATATAGGTAAAATTGTAGGTTCAACTCCCAGAGGTGATTGTTAGTTTAACCCAGAGGAAAGTCTTTGTGCCCTGACCACAGATTGTACCTCCAGCCATGAAATGCAACAAGAGAGAGCAGATAACTCAGTGGAATCACTTCCAGCATGACCAGAAAAGTTGACCCAGTCACATAATGGTGGATAAGTATCATCACTGTGAGTAAAGGAGAGATGACTGTGACTTTCTACCATCACCGTGGGAAGGGTGAAAAACCCTCAATCATACTAGGAAGTTAAGCAACTTTTTCAAATTTACACACATAGCCAGGTGTGGTGGCCATGCCTGTAATCCCAGTACTCGGGAGTCTGAGGCAAGAGGATTGCCACAAGATCAAGGTGAGCCTGGGCTACATAGTGAGACTCTACCTCAAAAAACAACAACAACATCAAATTTACATACATATGTACATGTTTTTCTCTGATATATATATCTATATATATTTCTCTGATATATATATATATATGTATGTACCTTTGCAAAAATATATAAATATCATTTAGCCTTGACTAAACAATGATTTATATAAATAATGAATAGGCTTTACTTACTGAGTAATTAATGACAAATTTATTGGGTCTGAGGTTACCTGAGAATTCTGAATGTCTTTTATTTTTACCCTGTTGAGTTATTTGCTATGTCAGACAGGAAAATATATATATATATGTATGTACCTTTGCAAAAATATATAAATATCATTTAGCCTTGACTAAACAATGATTTATATAAATAATGAATAGGCTTTACTTACTGAGTAATTAATGACAAATTTATTGGGTCTGAGGTTACCTGAGAATT